GGACTGTTGTATTCTCACATCCCCAAGAAGAACCGAAGTCCTTGTTGCTTTCAAATTCAAGGTACATTTGCTTCACACTTCCCCAAGAAGGACCAAAGTCCTTGTTGCTGTCAAGTTCAAGGTACATTAGCTCCGGTGAGGTGGCAGCAGAGGCGACATCCAAAGCAACTTGGATAGCTGACCTTTTTCCTTTCAATCACCTTTGTCTCCTCAAGACAAGGGTGCTATAGTCGAAATCCATTGGATGTTGCCTCCGATGAGGTATACTTTTAAAACTTAGATAGCCCTAGGTTTCTAAGCCTTTGTGGATGTATGTGTGATGATCCCAAGCCCATTAGGTCCTTAAAAGCTTCATTTTATGCTCTCCCAAACCATCATGCCTGTTGTTCTCTCTGAAAACCCATGAAAATTTGACGATATCCAGTGGTTGCTTTCATTTGAGAGCCTAAGGAGGATGGTAATAGGTGTCGGGTCGTTGTACTTGTGTCCAACAACCCCTAAAAGCATGAAGTCGCATTAATATTTATTCCAAGCCTTTGCCTACAATCAACCTTAAGGTTGGCGTTGCCATTCAATCCGACATGTAGGTCCTAGCCATTGCCACTTGCATGCGTCTCTCATCACACTGAAGGTCCTGACAAAATTGACTTGTAGGTATAGTAGCTCTCATATAATGGGATGTCAAATCTTTTCCCCAAGTTTTGTTGAATGCTCAAAGGTGAATTCGATCAATTCAGAAAACTCCTAAATTGTTGGGGATTTCTCATGACCTTTTAAAGGTCTATGTTGTAAATACCACAATAGCTGTAGTTAGTTAAATCTATCTTTGGGGATTCACAAAGCCTTGAGCGCTTAAATAATAATAATTGACTGCTCGAAAAAAAAAATGTCTAAGCTCCTAAAATAAAATAAAAAATTTAATGCACACCTAAGCCTTTAAATCATGGAAAAATTGGTTTAGCACTCTTCCAAAGCCGTAGAGATGATGTTGCTATTTAAATAAATCCAGAATGTACTTTAAAAAAATATGAACATTCCTTTAGGAGTTCGCTTTCATTTCGTGCACTTTGCCTTAAAGCTCACTAAAACTTCAAGCATCCTGCTGCATGATCCCCTAGGATGTCTTAGGAACTACCACAGCCTTATAGATGGATCCCAGGCCTGCCTTGATTCGAGTTGGACCAACTCAAGCTAAATCACCTAGCTCACTTCCCCTTTGCTTGGTGCCTTCTTGAACTCGTAAAGAGGTTCCTAAATGATCTCTGAAGAATTTAAGAAAAGCATTGATGACCCCTAGGAACAAAATCTAAATCCCATTGATTCACCTATTGAGCAAAAATAACCAGATGTTTCTTCCAGATTAGGATCAAAGTTTTGGTTCCTTTCATTTTCTTAGCCCATATTAAGTAAATAATATTCATCTTTGAACACGGAAGTTCAAAGAGCTTTTGTGATTTATAACCCAAAACTACATCTTCATATTCTGATCGTCAATTGCATTTGCTTTACCCAAATTATACAAATCAAGCGTTCATTCCTAAATATAAAATTCAAAAACCCATCATTGATTTGTGACATCGAAGTTATGAATATTCTATCTTTTTCTTGGCGCCGAAGCTAAAAGAAATTCTCCAACCCATAGCACAAGAATTTTACGTTGAACATCTTCCTTCCCTTAGCCTCAAAGCTATAGCAACTCAACATCACCTTAGCTCCAAAGCTTTTGGTCTCTCATCACCTTCATTTTCTTAATCCCAAATTAAGCAAATGATTCCCTAGCTCTAGGTCTCTTGGCCTTTGCTTTTCGTATTAGACCCACGTCAAATTGAAGTCTTTCTTTCTTTGGCCTCAAATCCAAAGTCTATCTGCTTGGCCTAATCAAGTAGGTAATCTTTCTATCTAAACCCAAACTCTAGAACTTCATCATTTAGCCAAAACAAGTGATTCCCTCCTATCATGATATTAAAAAATCTTTGCTTTTAGGTGTTTTTTAGAAGCATCTTTCTCTTGAAATTAATCATACTTAATTAGGTAAATTTCACCAATTCCTAAGTAAAACCCTTGCACAAGTTTGTTTTACCCTATTAAGCAAACACTCTCTTATCCAAACATTAAGAGAATTTTAAAAAATTGCCTAAAATTTAGGTTTCTTTTGATGCAATGAATATGACATTCTACTTTAAAAGGTGGAATGTCTACTTCACTGAAATTTATGATACTATGAATAACATACTCCAAAGCAAGCAGATGTCATTTTATGAGTTCTTTATAACCCTTTAAAAATATGAAACACTTTAAAAATCAAATAAAAACTTTTAAGTCACATACAACTTAAATTGAAACACTCATGGGTTAAAAAGTTAAATATCTTTCTATCCCACAACTAAAACTAAACACCCTATCATAGTGTAACAAACTACACAAGCTAACACACACTTAGATGCACGACTCCTAGGCATCCTAGAGTTAATATTTTTCCTTTTTGTATATGTGGTTGATTGTTTATTGTGAGGAATACTGAATTATCTGTGTTGTCCGAACATGCTCTTGAATGCTAGGATAGATGTATACTTTTTTTTTAAATGCAGGTGGCCATATCCAAAAGGGGGAGAATAGTTAAGTTATTATTATCTAATGATGTATGCTTGCAAGTTCTGTTTAGAAGCCTCAAAGAGGCATGAACAATAGAGTAGAAACTCGCTTGGCACTACAACTGCTAGACAAATTTATGTGGTGATGCTTTTTATACATTATCTGCATTCTAATCTTTGAATTATAGGTTTGAGTCTTTTTTTGCTTTTCAAATGTAATTAATAGACTTAGGAAGCCGTGTGGGCTAATATTTTGAGTTGATCTTATCCCCTTTGAAATTCTCCAAAGATCAAATCTTTAACAAGAATTTATAAGACTAATTATGTAAAATGTTAGTCAAATTTTGATGAAATAATATAAATTATTATTTTAATCAAAAGTTTTTTCAAAGGACAAATACCAAGCCCTTATGGAGAACTTGTACCCCAGACTAAAATAAACTCTGCTCGATCACTCCGTTAATATAAAAAAATGCAAGTTTTGTTATTGAGTTTATAGCAAAATAATATTTTATCCTTCGAGATAATATATTATTTTCTATGCCGTACTCGATCACAAAATATTTTAATCTGTTCAAGATAACAAAATTCCATGGACACTCAACCAAAGTCAAAGGAAAGAGTAGTACTAAATCAGTGAAGGTTATGGCTGTCCAAAACAGCAAAAAACAACATTCTTTCCAGTGGAGAAAACCTAAAACCAGAGGAAGAACTTTCTTTATAAGGTAGGGGGAGAATACAATGAATGGAAGTCATCTACCATGTGAAATGGTTCTCAAGACACTTTAATTGATTGATAAATCAATAGGAGGCCTCCTAACAAAAATAAAATCCAAAAAACCTTTCTGAGTATATTCTAGCCTCTACTTGTGGGCTTATGTAGTAAAATTTAGAGGTTGTCTACGGAATAATTTATAATACCTTTTTTTTGTCTAATCTTATATCCACTCGTGTATCTGGCCTATGCCTTCACCTTATATTTACCATGCTGAGGCTTTGTCCGTGGATCTTTAGCTTCATGTTCGAGTAATTTTAAATACTAAAGCACATCAATATTTTTTTATAAAAGCTAGCACATAAACTTCACGGCACAATTTTAGATAGAGAAAGAACTAATGGATGATTATATCATTAGGGCACTCCATCCCCTCTAAGTTATCCAATAATTGGCAAACTAGTAGGGTAAACATTCTCAAAAGAATTAAATTTTGACATATAAGAAGGAAAAGCAAAGAAGACAGGGCAATTGAGTGTGGCAGAGAACCTAGAAGCATCAAGAAGACTTAGTAACTTTTTGAAAGGTTAAGGACTGCTGTATTAGCTGCTATTTTGAATGAACTTATAAGATGTGGGCTTTGGACAACTCACTTGGACAGTCCATTAAAGGTTGCTAGGAAGATTCAGTGTGCCCATGAAATTTTGAGTCTGATGCGCTTCAGCCACCAAAGATGACCATATGGGAGAGTTGGTGGTCAGCCTTAGTGCTAAGGACTCTGGCTAGATTTGTCAAAGAGGTGAGAAGTTTAAATTGAATCTGCTCATACATCCAGGAAAAAGAGAGAGAATAATGAGATTAGACAATTGCCTGCTGAAGTCTAGCGCTAGTAGCACTTGGAGATTGCGGAGAGCTGTAGGAGATTGTTGTTGTGCCAAGAAGATAATTGGAACTTTAGACTACTGAAGTTGGCAAGGGGGTTGGTCGGAATTTTGTTATCTGTAGCTACAGGCTCGAGACATGAGGGTGAATTGGGTAAGATGTTTTAGATACCTGGTACATAATGAATCTTATTTTGTATGATAAGTGGTCTGTGCTGGGGTGTAATTCCAATGTGATGTTCATGTACAGCCTATGAATTTGTTGTGCTTGCTCTTTTAGGAAACCAGACCTGCTTCTTCTCTTACCAAACCTGAGTAGAGATTTGGTTGGGTTAGCTTGTCAATTGAAATGCCCATTTATTGGGTTTACTCTTCCTTTTTATTGTGTTAAGACAAATAGGTGCTGTTGTTCTTTGGGTATGAATGGAAGCAAGATTGGGTACGCCTGTTTTTTCCTTTCTGTTGATAGTTTTGATATTTTGTTTCTATTCAGAACTCAAACATGAATGCAACTGATTATTGTCCCTGCACTGTGATGAGGTTTTCATTTTTCCATAGATAAGTCTTACTTGTTTTTTCCAGTGATAAATGATTAAACGGATTGATGTAGTGGGATAAATGTTTGTTGTTGATAAATGATGATTGTACTTTTGCTGTAATATTTTGATTTTCTTGGTGGGCCTGTATTTTTTGGTTATGCTGGATTTGATAATATAGCAATTATTATATTTTAATGGTATCTTTGCTAAACAAAGATGCTGGCGCATTCTTTCAGAACTTGAATTTGTAAATTGAGCATTTCTTTTGTCGCAGAATGGCTTATACAATACAAAGAAAGCAGACCAGGATTAAAAGTACTTCAGAAAAGAATTGATGAATTTGTGACAGCTCATGAGGAGCGGCAGGAGCAGGTTTCTATTGTTCTATTTCTTTTAGTTCCTTTTGAGAATATTGCCTTCTGTTTTGCAAATACATTAATTTTTCTTTTAACAGCCTAGAAGTAGCAACAATTGTTTTTACATCAATACAATGTAACTATATGTCTTTCTTATTCTGCAATGTAACTGAATGCTTTATCTACAATTTCATTCTCGCTTGGAATTTTCAGGAGAGGAAGGAAAGAGAAGCTCGTGCTGCTGAAGATGGATGGACAGTTGTGGTGCATCAGAAGGGCAGAAAAAAAACAACTGATGCTGAAACTGGTACGGTTATGGGATCAGTGGCCTCTGCTGCTGTTATGGATAAGATGTCAAAAAAGAAAAGTAAAGAAATTGCCCTAGATTTCTACAGATTTCAAAAACGGGAAGCTAAGAGGAATGGTATGTGAATTCCTTCCAGATACAACCTGCTTCGAGTACATGCTGTAATTATCTCAATATTTTTTAAGCTGTAGTTTTAATGTATGATTTCCATCCCATGCCCACTTCCTTCCATCATGTGGTTGTGCAATAAGTTTTCTTCCTGGATTTGCCATTCTCAGAATTGACATTTTACATTAGCTTTTGACGGCATCTCATGTATGTTTATAATTTTACATTGCAAATTGCTGATTGCTTTATTGACTTTATTCTACTTTAAGATTGCAGTGCTTGAAATGATCTTTGGATGAGCTAGCATATTTAATCTGTTAGTCAACTCTGTTTGATCTGTATTGATGGTTACCTAACATCATTTTCCTTCCAGAGGTTATGATGCTGCAGAGAAAATTTGAACAAGACAAGAAACGTATACAGCAATTGAGAGCTGCAAGGAAGTTCAGACCCTCCTGAAGGCTCTCCTCTTGAGGATTTCAGTTAGTTCTTCCCAGGTAAGGAACTTCTGAACTTGAACAGGACGTTTAATGTTGAACAGAAGTTTCTATTTTTATACATTTGAAATGATGTCTGCAACGGCCTTTAATTCTTATCATTCTCCACTTTAACTTTTCGAATTATCTTAAGATATCATTTATAATTTATCTTGAAGCTACAATGGCTCCAAGTGACTTGTGGAATATGTCATTATGTTCATGATTTAGCAGCTAGAAATACTCTTGCAAACCATTAGATGACACAATACACATATTTGTTATCATCAAATCACTAATGATTCACACATGATTCATATTGGCTCATATTGAAACCATGAGTTTAGAGCACAATTATAGTATTTTTTTAATGATCACAAATATAATTTGTTTGACTTGTTTTTTGGCTTTCATATTCCTTTACAGATGTTTTTAGTATTAACATTGTAAGTACACATTGAAAGAGAATTTGTAATGTTAGAGGAGACATTTCAAGAAAGACACAAAACTAAGAGATTATTCGTAGCTGAAGACAAACAAAACATGCCGTCAATCAAAGTAGCTACAGTTTAGTTTGCTGATTATTATATATTAATATGTTAATATTAAAATGTGCTTTAATATGTTGATTGTATTGGTATATTATTAACCAAAAAGTATTTATAGAATAACATTTAAATTCTTACGATTTGAATAGAGCATGTGAATATAGTATGATTTTAGAGTCAACTTAGAATTCTAATTCTAGCTTACAAGTTTTAGAGCTTGTTTAGAGCACATGAATCCAATGCATAATAATTGACTTGTCATCTTTCTAACCGTTCAATAAAAAGATATTACCTATGTGTGCAGCTATTCAGCTTTAAGTCTTGTCATTCTTAAAATTATAAATTTCTTTTTTCAGATCATAGTATGGTTTTCTATTGGATCTGTTTGTCGTCGTCTAGGTTGATGGTGTGTTCGCCTATAAATCTTGTTGAATGTAAAAACTGTCAGAAAAATGTTATAATTCAAAAAAAGAAAAAGAAAAAAAGAACGGTCATATTGGTCTTCTTCTCAAATTGATCATATTATGCACGGTCATATTGGTCTTCTTCTCAAATTGATCATATTCTACATGGTCGTATTGATCTTCTTCTCAAATTGGGTGGGGAGAAGCTCTAAGATACCGCTTCTTTGGTCAAATTAGCCATTCTGATCTCTCATGAATACCTTCACCTGACACTTCAACTTAAATGTTATATTCTTATGCAGGTTTTTTCTTTCTTGTGCCACCGGCCATTCTAATAATTCAAAAAATAAACAATTGACAATAAGTAAAAATGCAATATCAACATGTAAATAAAGAACCTTGGTCACTGACTAGCATTAGGCAATGATAATGACAAGCATTAATTATCATTGATTGATGACATATATCAACATAGATTGATGGCATATACCAACACCAATCAACAAACAATGCAAAGTTTTGATAAGGAAACATTTAGAATTCGCATGTCCTACAATTCCATTTATTCTTTCAATGGTGCATAAACAATCAAATTTTATGAGAAGCACTTCTTATTTGTCCTCTTTATTTGCAGAGCTCAGAGAGAAGTGGCAAAAGCAAGATAAAAAAAGCTGAGATTCATGTTTGATTCCCATTTCCTCAGTCTTTATGTTTTAATTGCTAAATTGCAGTTGAGAATGAAAAGGAAGATCTTGGATTAGAGGATACATGTAATCATTAAATCATTAACCTTTTTGTTAATAGCTCAGGTTAATTTTTATTGCTTAATTTATGTATGGAACAATGAACTAATGTGAATCATTATTAATCTAGCTCTAATTTGAACTACTGACTATTTATAAGAAGCATTTTTTAGAAATTTTGATTTCGTTTGAGATGACTTTTGTATTGATTCTTAAAGCTGTTTTTTAAAAATAGAAAAGTTTTAATTTAATACCCCCATTTAATAAAATGATGTTATCCTTAGAAATTATCCACCAAGCTAGTATGATCACATGTATGGCTTTTAAAGGTTAAAGAGATTGTCTCTGCTAATGTATCCTTTTTTTTTGAAATGATTCAAAATGGTGGCTGACATTTTGCAATTCTTTGTTTAAAATGATTTAGAATGCTGTATTACTGTGAGAAATCGCATAAGAATTGCTTTTTATTTAGGCTTCGTTTGGGACTGTTTTATTTTTGTTTTTTAAAGAAGTTTTCTAGTACAATAATTAAAATTTTTATACTAGGAAGCTGCTTTAAGAAGCAATAAGAAAAATGTTTCAGACGAAGCCTTAATTTTGCTATAAGTTTGTAGCATAACATTGACGAGAAAAGTCAGAAGCAAAACTACGAAGCCATAATAGGAAGAAATAAGGATGTGAGATTAGAATTTTTACAAGCTTTTATATATCTTTTTCAATCATTAGAATTTTTAGAGCTTAAATTAATTTTTATAATAAATTTTCTTTTTTTTTTGTCTTTTCTTGCTCATTTTGATTCAACTACTAACTATTTTTACTATTAGTAATTTTTTCCTTCAATATTATAAACATCTCTTGCAATATTCTCAATATCAATAGTTATTTTTTGTCGCATAACATTAACTTCATCATAAAAAAAAAAAAACATTAGCTTCATCATACACAGATAAAATCTCAAAGCCTAGAATATTGCTCTCAAAAATATTTTTGTTAATATTTTTTAAATGTATCCCATTTATACTAGAACAATGATTTATTTTATTTTTTATTTTCTGCCTCTTGATCTTAAAATTCAAATTAATAAACGATATTGGGTACATAAATTTTCACTCAGAATAACTTTACAATCTAAAAAATGTATTTTCTCAAAATAAAATAATTAATCTAGTTTTACTATATCCATTCTTATAATTGATGAGATCTTCATATTTTTTCTTAAATAAAATATTAGCAATTATCAAATTATAAGCTAAAGAAAAATCTAATATGATCTTAGGAAACTATCTAATTGGATAATGAACAAACAAAAATCATAAAACAAACAGCTAAGCTTTGAACCAAATATAAGATACAGTTAAAAAGCTAAATGAGTAGAAATAAATTAAATCCATTTCAATTATAATTACAAAGTAGGCAAAGCACCACTAATGAGAAACAACATGACATACAATCAGATGTAATTGATAAAGGTAATCAACTTAATTACAAGCATATTTCATTTAGTTAACAACAACAACATCATCAAACTTTTATCTCACTACATGGAATCGGTTATATGAATTCTTTTTTTTTTTTCCAATATGTCCTATTAAAAGTCAAATTCTCATTTAAACCTGTCATTTTTAATATTTTATAACCAAGTCTTTTTAAGTCTACCTCTAGATCAAATGTAATACATCTACTCTCCTAACCGGGTCATCAAAAAGTTGACGTTATATTTGACCAAACTATCAAAGATAACTCACCCTAAATCTTATCTGCTACTGAAGTTACTCCATCTTAACACTGCCATTATCAGGTCTCAAGTTCTGAATGAGAAAAGTTGAGAGTTGTGTTAGATAGTTGACAGCTAGCATAAAATTTGTCAAATAATTATTACGTGAATTCTTTTCATTCGGTTAACATCATCATAAAATATAAGAAATCCAAACAATAAGAAAACACTTCCAGTTTTTCTGTCACAACTAAAAGAGATTAACTGAGCATTAATACAATTCATAGCACAAGCCACAGATTAACATAAAAGCAATAAGAAAACAAGCAAATATAATCTACATGAAATATTTATTTCAGTTTCTTTCTTGCAGTTCCAAACCTTTTTCTCATAAGCAATCATCACTCACGAGAATGTATCATTTAACCACAATAAGAGCAAAAGCCTAATCAATCAGTGACAGTAATGGCCAAACCAACCACCTCTCAGTCCTCCCTCATCCTCTTCTGCTCTGCTATAAACCCACCACAGCAAATTTGACAGTGAGTTCCCATCATCAAACCCATTCAAACTCCTAATCTTCAACAAAGCATCCTCCTTATCATAAACTCCCTCCATTGCATACACAAATCCTTTCCAACCATCAGTAACTCCCTCCCTTGTCAATGCAGGCAATGTCCAGTTCACCAGATCCTTTACAAACCCAACATCCCTAAAGAGATCTTCCGTTATCGGCAACAATGGCAGAACTTGAATCCCCAACCTACACTCTTTCCATTCAGCCGGAGCAAACCAGAGCCCACTGTCTCTTTTATTTGCCCACAGAACCCCCACCACTCTATTCTCCCTACTAAAATCCTCCTCATATATACCCTCTCCCTCTCTCACTTGCCACCATGTCTCTGCTGCGGCAATCTCAAAGGCGGCAATCGTAGACCCGATCGCCACCAGATGGGTATCGCCATAGCTCAGCCCCATGAGCGCCGCAGAGTAATAAGCATTCACTGCCTCGCTCGTGCTCTCCTGATTGCGTCCATCGGCAAACTCTGTAAGCCCCCCAGCCCAAGAATGCAGCTTCCAGAGATCAAAACATCGTAATCTCGCATAATTTGATCCAGACAAGTTCATGAAATCTGCCATTATTGAGTATGCCTGAGATTTAAACTTCCTCCCCCATGATGGATCAAACTTGACAAGCACAGCAATTGCATAAAGGAAGTAGCCAAGGTGGTAATGGTGGTCATTGAAGATACCAAAGCCAAAATCGGCACCAGAATCTGTGGACCCCTGCTTGGTTAGAAGACCACCCCATTTGGGATCATAGAGAAATCCATTTCCATTAAAGCTTCCATCAAGCCATGGGGTTATAGATCTTCTAAGGAGGTTCAGAACCGTGGGAATTACATCTGGGAAGCCAACTTCCTCTGCAATAAGAGCCAATCTTGCCGCCCTGGCAATCGCCTTACCATAAAAATAAGATGAAGTAGTTTGAATCGGCGAAGTATCCAAAGCATTCACGTCTTTAGTTAAAGCAGTAACGATCTCTTGTAAACCATCTTCGCTGACCCCTCTTGTCGAATTCCATGTGGTCGACACCGGATCCGTTTTCAACAACCAAGAATCGCCGACAATACCCACCAAATCACCGTCGATACTCCGATATTTGAACTCCGCCATCACGTCGGCGGCGGAGGATCCGCTGCTGTCGAGGAGTCGGAGATGAAGAGGATGAGCGAGCAAAAGAAGATCACCCCACCCCTTCTTCTCCCACCTGTACTCAAGGTACCCCGGCCTACTGAAAACAGCCTTACCCGTGACAGGGTAACACGATGAGTACTGATCAAGAATTGTCTCATAGCTTTGATCGGGGAGGAAGGCGAGCCTTACAACGCCGGAAAAGCCGGCGGCGGTGAGCTGTGTAGTGCCTGATTGCTGGAATTTGATCGGGGAGGAGGAGTAGCAGAGAAAAGTCTGTCCGCTGTTGAGTTGAAAGGTGTGTTTAGTGAAGGAGGAGTTGGGAACGACGGAGAGGAAGGCATGGATGGAGGAGATAGAGAGATCAGTGGCGGCAGCAAGGGTGGAGAAAGTTATGAAAGGGCTTCCGCGGACAAGGAAGAAGCGCAGAGAAGGAGGGAGGTCTAGGGTTACACTGAGGTCGTCGAAGGAGGAGATGATGTGGTTAGACTGGGAAGAAGGAGAGGAGACGGTAAGGTCAGCGACAAAGGTTTGGTAGATGAACGAGGAAGTGGCAAAGCGTGATGGAAAGGAGATGGAGAGGGAGGAGGAGGAGGATTTTATGAGATAAGGATGAATATATTCAGGCTGGTCGCCATTTTTTAATACAAAATTTTGGAAGAACGAGTTGGTGGGGAGAGGGGAAGAGAGGAGGTGAGGGGAGAAGAAGGTGGATGGGTCAGGAAGGATTGGTGAGTTAGTTTGGGGAAAAAGATAGGGTCTGCGATGGGACGATGGCATCTTAGCGAAAGATGAAGAAGGTTGATGCGGAAGAACAGGAAGAGGAAGAGGAACAGGAAGCGGAGCAGGAGAAGGTAGAGGAGGCCTCTTCTTCTTCTTGATGGCTTTATTTATAATTTTGGTGACAGATCTTTGAAGCCTCTTCATCTTCTTCAACATTTCCTCCCTTGATTTATTGAAGGGGGAGCTGAAATTTGACACCTGGATAGCGTTTGTTGGTTTAGGTTTTTTGGATTATTTGGAGTTGACTTGAAAGAAAACTCGGGGGAAATTTCCTCAGCATCTCCATTAAATTAGGTGTAAAAATGAGCTACCAATCTGAACTTCTGTTCTTCTTATAGCTTCGTGGCTAAGTCTTTGATTCAATCACAGAGATGGAAGAAATTACCTTACCGCGTCGAAGTAGGTTCTTTCAAGTTGATGAAGTTCGTCTTCTTTGCCTTTGGGATTAAGTCTCTGAATGGGCATTATTGGTGAGATTTCTTCTCGATGAAGAAGGTTGGGGGAATTAGGGTTTTGAAGAGGAATGTGAATGTAGAGGATGAGAAGATGATTGGTTCCAATTTGAAGGTGAGTGGTTTGTTCATGGAGGAAAGAGTAGATGCTTCTTCCATTAGGTTTTATTGGCTTTGCTTAGTTTTGAAGTGATGCAATGAAATGGCAATGGAATTAGAAGACTTGCCTTGCCTATGTATTCTTCTCTAGAACATTAGTATGGAATGGAATATAATCCAAGAATACTATTTGGATTAGAATATTTTGATTCAATTTTAAATTTATGTTAGGAATAATATGATATAAAATTTATTTAATTAATTATATATTATATTTATTTTAAATTAAATTGAGAGTCTTTTTGAGACAGTTTTTTCTTATTGTTTTATTTTTCAGACGATAATAATAATTTCATTTAACTGCTATTATTTATTATTATTTTGTTATTTTTCAAAATTTTTATAGTAAAAATATGTTTTCTACACAACAATTTCACAACAAATTTTATAAAACATTGCTATTGTCCTAAACAGACCTTTAATATTATACAAATCATCTTAATTATTGTAATCTTATACTAAATTTCTATTAGCTTCAAGCTAACTTTATAAGACAAGTAGATATCAAAATGTAAAATAAAATCAAACATTTTGCTTCTCTTGATTTAATTGTTTGTTGTAGGAAAACAATTATGTTAAGAATATTCTGATGTGTTGCATTGAGATTAGTACTGTTACGTCCTAAAATTTTTGCGGCGATAGAAATATATAAACTTTAATGTCTTAGCTTTGTACGAAAGATCTAACATACAATCAGATAAAAGAGAGGGTATAACGTTCATAAGAGACGCCAAAAATTTTACATGGAAATCCCTGAAAGGGGAAAAAATCATGGGATCTGGCCTAGTTTGAATGAATCCACTAGTGTTTGCAGTCAATTACAAATGAGACCCTTCCTTAAGGGGAAGACATTTGTTTGATGTAGCAAATATACATCATATAGAGTGCATTACATGGTAGGAAGGAGAAGAATCAATATTGACATGTTTGTTTGGCCGGCAAGATCATAGTTGGCTTGCAACGGAGGTCGGAAGAACCATAGTCGGCGAGCAACGGAGGTCAGAAAGACCGTAGTTTACGGGCGACAGTAGTAAAAAAGATCGTTGTTTGACGAAAGAGGTCAAAATGATCATAGTCGGGTGACGGCGGTCGGAAAGACCGTTGCTAGACGATGGAGATCAGGAAGACCATAATCGACGATCAACGAAGGCCAGATAAACCGTTATCAAGAGATAAAGGTCAGAAAGATTATAGTATGGAGAAGGAGGTCAGAAGGACCATAGTTGTCAGATGATGGTGGTCAGAAAGATCGTAGTATGAGGACGGAGGTCGGAAGATCCATAGTTTGTGGGCGATTGTGGTCAGAAAGATCATAGTATGTGAACAAAGGTCGGAAGAACCGTTGTCAGCAGGCGATAGTGGTCACAAAGATCGTTATAAGGCGACGTAGGTCGAAAAGACTGTAGTCGACGGGCAACAGATGTTGGAAGGACCTTAGTAGACACACATGTGATAGTGGTCAGAAAGGCTGTTGTTTGGGGATGGAGGTCGAAATTATCATAATTAGCGGGCGACAGTGGTTAGAAAGATCATTATCAGATGACAAAGAACAGAAGGATTGTAGTTGGTGGTCAGTGGTCGCGTGTAAATTCGATGTTAGTTGGTGGCCCGATGTAAGTCTGATAACAGTTGGTGGCTGGGCAGAAGTCATAAACAGTCGATAGCAGGGCTATGGTTCAGCATCAGTTTGTGGTCTACCGGAAGTCTGGTGTCAGTCAGTGGCCAGGCGAAAGCACGACATCAATTGGTGGCCGGGTAGAAGTCAGGCCATAATTCGGCAATGGTCGGTGGCCGATTAGAAGTCCAACGACGATCGGTTGTTCGACAATGGTAGAGGAGTAGTGGCAAGAGATTTTTAGTTTCTCTCTCTTCCTTCATTTCTTCCCCCCTCTTTCCACGAGGAATGAAAGATCTATTTATAATTTTATGAGAGTGATATGACTAGTAAATAGGAGGGAGATCAAGGGTATGTTGGAGTGGTTTGAATGAACGACCGATAATGATCCCCTTAATCGTGGATCGTTTACTAGCTAGGCATTTGGATGCCTTAGTGATATCAGAATTTGGCAATCTTGGGATAATTGGATTTGTTTCGTCGAGTCGCTCGATTTGACTATAAACATGTCACATTTGGCCATCCAACTTATGGTTTGAACTTTCCAAAGGAGCTTCGGGTCTTCGATTTGGATCCATTTGGGCTCGAATTATCGTTGGGTTCGTCTTTTCGAGATGTTCAGTTTGGTTCTTAGTTTGTTGAAATCATAGTTTATATGGTCCCAAATTTAATTTCGGAAGTTTCTAACTTGATTTTGCCTTGGGATTCATATCCGATCAAGATTTTTTTTAATGATATATCAAGTACAATATTTGGATATCAAATGCTATTAATCATATAAAAAAAATGTAGCACACATCTTATTGTAAATAAAAAAATTGAAAGATCATCTTAAAATAAAACATGTTTAGAATATTTTTATATAATATATTCTACTAATTTGCAAAAGTGTGAAGATCGCAAACGGCTTACCGTCAATAAGCCTCATGGTCTTCGTGCGAGAAAAAGCTGAACAAACGTGGGCTTTATGATCTATGAAATTAAATTAATTTTGTTTTGTAGATATTATAAGGAGCTCTATATGTTTGCTTTTATTGCTAAAGCATAGATGCACAAATATTATAAATTTTCTCTTATTATTCTTATGGTGATAAGAAATTCATAGAATTTTTTAGAAGGCATTTTTCTATTTTTATATTTACAAAACTATCACCCTGTTATTATTTCTCCAAATAATTAGTTTTAGATGGTAGATATGCAAATTGTTTAGTTTTAAGTGTTATAGATTTAAATTCCTCTTTTAACTTAAAAAAACTTAAAAAAAAAAAAATTCACTTTCGAAATAAGTAGCTCTTTGAGACAAATTAAAGGACTTCAAAAACATTTGAGTTCAAGTATGAAAGCCACCAATCTTATTGAACAATAACATAATAAATTAAGCTTCGTTTGAGACGATTTTCTTACTGTTTTATGAAGCAACTTTTTAGTATGTAGATATGCAAATTGTTTAGTTTTAAGTGTTATAGATTTAAATTCCTCTTTTAACTTAAAAAAACTTAAAAAAAAAAAAAATTCACTTTCGAAATAAGTAGCTCTTTGAGACAAATTAAAGGACTTCAAAAACATTTGAGTTCAAGTATGAAAGCCACCAATCTTATTGAACAATAACATAATAAATTAAGCTTCGTTTGAGACGATTTTCTTACTGTTTTATGAAGCAACTTTTTAGTACAAATTTTTTAATTTTTGAACTAAAAAATTACTTTAAGAAGCAGTAAGAAAGCCACCCCAAACAAAACCTTAATCTAAATTAAACCAAACAATTAACAGCCCCTCCTTCCTTTTTGTGCCACCAAATTTGTCAATTACTTTTCTTACTTTCCAAAATTCTTGAGGCCTCTGCATATCTCCATTTTGTGAACCAATTATGATAAATAATTGTTCTAAAAAAAGATGAATTTTCAATATAAAATGGTTGCTTAGTTATGCCATTTTAATGGTCACAAATTTAAACTATATTCCTTGTTGAAATTGTTCTCATTAATCAACCTACTGAAGTTTCACAAATTTAAACTATAGATCAAACCACACTCAAAATCTAAAAAAAAAAACCAAATCTACATATTTGGGATATAATGAGCTCTATGATCGTACGATAATTTTGAAGTCCAAACTGTCCAGTCGTCACCTAAAGTTTTTTTTTTTTTTTGACAGCTAGGGGATTCGAGCCCGAGTGAGATGGGAGGAATTTCTTCCATCGACCACTCGGCCACAGACCCGATCTACACCTAAAGTTCATTTCCACCACTTGTTTGTCCCAAATTAAAACTTTATTCATTGCCAAAAGAAGTACTATGGCGACTATCCCCACTCACCTCCATGACCTTATTATACATCTTATACATCACCTTTAAGTTATGACATCTTCGCCATGAAGAGTATTGTCCCGACTATCTTCCATGGCATCTCCAATCTTCTTATGCCATTTTTCTCATGACCTTCAAGACATGTCTTCTCGTCACTCATCAAGGACCCTAATGTATCAAGATGCCCATGCTAGTTTATTATTTCCATTCCCAACTTTAGTTTAGGACATCCACATCATTAAGTTCCTACATAATCATTCCACATCATATGGCTTATCCAAAGCTTTAAATTCAAGACTCACACATACACCAATTTAAGAAATGCCCATCACCCCCACTTAAAGGTGTCACAAGAGCTTCTTGTCACCATTGTCTTAGCTCCACTAGGCATAATCATCGGTAAGCTACAAGCTAATGCACTTGAAATAACTATAAATACCTCAACAATGAAAATGATTAAGTATAATAAAATTGGATTGCTTGCCTATCCATCTACTTAAGTTAGTACTTTTAATCGCCTACTAGATTCTATATAGGAAACAATCTATCTTGTTGCAACTTTTGCAACCTTGTTTAAGGATTCAATTTTTCACTTCACCTCACACCTTCAAAATAATTTTTTTTGCATCCTTTACTTGCCCTTTTTAAAATTTAATTTTTCTTCACCCTTCTCCTCTAAGGGTTGTTTCTTTAGGTTTTGGGCAAACAGACCTTAAGTGTCATGATTTTCTGCACTCAAAACAAATAACGTTAATTGGGATTTTATGAAATTTTCTTTGTTTACATTTACCTTTCTCAAAATGATGCCTTTGTTTCTGCTTTAAAAGCTTTTGAGTTTTCTCATCATAAAGGCTACTTCATCATCATCATTTCATCCAGAATTGTTGCATCTCAGTCACTGACCTTTAGTGCCAGGATTTTCTCTTCTCATTTGTCACCATCATCTTATAATCTTTGACTCACATTTTGCTCGTAGGCAATAAGTGAAGACTTTTCCCTTGATCCTTCTCTCAAGATCATTGAAAACACGGAGGAACTTAGGTAGAAACTTGCTTGGAGCAACTGCATGAAATCCCCTTACACTACTCTCTCTCTCACATAAACCTTCTCCCCTTTTTCCTCTCAAAACTCCATG